AGATAGCTCTATATAGTTCTATTTTAGGTTTAGTCTATACGAAAGCATGTTCCACTTGCACTTTGCTGAAACTATCCATTCAGGAGAAAAACTATATCCTTTCATTAAAGCAATGTTTCATCTTTTTGCCATAGCCAGCACTTTGAACCTCTTTTGAAGTCAATATCCTTGTTAAAACATGGAAGCAACTTTGTATTGCTCTACATTCTTCCTCTACCTACCAGACCGTTCAATAAGAAACAGGAGCATTTTGTCTCACAGTGCTCAGATGCAAGGGAATAAAACAAAGGCTTTCATTTAACTTTCACCAGTATGGAGTTACCCCTGCGCTATAATGTCAGTAAGTGCTAACATTACATAAATCCATTACTTAGTCCCTGTGCTGTGGCATTTTATGGAGGAGAGAGGTTAGCCACACTGCAGTTATCATAACAGCATCCCGTGATCTGAACTCTGTGTGATCAGATTGGTTTTAATAGACTCTGGATTACTTGGAGGCAGTTCCTCAAAGCTAAACATCTCTGGGCCTAGAATTAGAGTGCACATCTGAGGTGAAAACGATTTGTTCCGGAGAATGTCACTGCTGCAATGAAAGAGCTTATACGCTATTATCATACACTACCTTAAAAAGATGACAGGGAAGCGACTCAGAGATCCTTTGATACATTTTCCACCACTCAGTACTGGAGGAGATAACATAAAATTTGAGTAGTCTAGTGTAAGCAGGCTGTTTATTATGTCTATTAGTCTCTTTGCATTTGTGCTACAGTAGATACGATACATTTTATTCCATATAACCCACAAGCTTTCTTATCTTCGGTTAATCTTGTCCATAACAAAGCACACTTGGATACTTTTCAAATAGCCAGAGATCTAAGTTCACAGGAGCCTTTTCATTACGTCTCAAAATAAGAAAAAAATCCTGTGGTTATCGGTAAAATGCTGTCTGTAGTGGTGTGAGAGAAATGATTTTCTGCTTTGGTCCACTTACCTTATAACATTTGTGCTTGTGTACAGCCATGTGCACATGGTGACCCCTTGTAACAGGTTCTGTGGCCATTGTGAAAAGTCCAAATGAAAAGTGATATCCCCTTCTTAAATTGTTTCATTTGAATAATCTTTAGAGCCTTGAAGATGTAAAACTATACATTATACAATAATGAATGAAAAAAGGAATGATTAACGAACAATCTAAAAGATCATTTTAGTGGAGTCTTTGGAGCCTGTTGGTTAAGATGCATACCATTTGATGGCAGTACTCCTGGCTTGGCTCTGGCTATGGACCTTTAATGCATTTCACCTTTCTTCTCGCCTTCCCCATGTTCCCTGTCTATCTCGACTGTCTGCTCTTTAATAAAGGTTAAAATGCCAAAATCCACTCAGTGTCAATCTAATGCAGTTCTGCACAACTGTTCTGCCATAAAGTCTACTTTTGTAATGCCCATAATGTTCAGTTTTTAGATGTCATTGTTAGTGGTGGTGTTGTACTTGGAGGTTTTTCTATTATTCTCCCCCACTCATGTACGTAAATAGGTAGAGAAAAAAATTACAAACACCTCCTAATATAATGTAGTTCAGTACAACACCACCTTTAACTATGACCTAAGTAGTAAACATGTAATAGAATTTACACAATCCCGACAAAGTCACAAAAAATGTAATGTTATAAGCTTTGTAAAGGTAGATTTAACAGCAGGTTGCATGGGTCTACCTAATAAAGTGGCCACTCAATGTATAAAAATAACATAACATTAATGTTTTGTAGCAAAATTTAGCATTATAATTTTCTCACTCCGATAATCACCTTTTGATCCACTAGATTAATTTTGTGTTCCCTTGTGAGGGTACCTCCAACTCCAACAATAGCAGGAGTGGAAGACGTATTCATATCATTTGCAACAGAACAATATAAAATAAACTAATTGCAAGTAAAAGTCCTGCATTCAAACTTTAACTTAAATAAAAGCACACTGAATTATCCGCAACAAAATGTACTTAAAAGTATAAAAAGTAAAGGAACTCATTATTCAAAATAGTTCCTGTCAGTGTATCTTAATAATACTTTAATGATTTAGATGGAGCTAAATGAATGGCTTGATGAGCGTTTCTTGGGTTTTTGGATCTATAAAAAGGCAGCATATTTTATAAAATGAGAAATTTAACAAAAACAATGTTTATTGTGTAAAATCTTAATCTAAAGAGTAATAGTGACTATAGCCTATAGCTTTCTAATAAATGTAGCTGAGTATAAAGTAAAATGTTTCCCTCAGAAATATAGCAAAAGAAGCAACAAAACAAACAAAAAAAGAACGAAATATTCAAGTTAAGTATGAATACCATATATCAGTTGAAGAGTAAATGTCCCTTGTTATTTGCATTGTCTTGCATCTCTATAGCAATGGGGAAAAACAACTGAGTATAGCCAAGGGACTCAAAAAATCCCATAATTGTGATGATTGTGTAGGACCTCTGTATATTGCTAATATTATACTGATTAAACTACAGGGTCCCTGCTCATGTTGTATCAACAGGATCCTTACAATTATGTTGACCACTGCTTCTGTAGAAAAAAAATGCACCACAGGATTAAGGCAAAATCATTGCAGTAGTAACGACCAGAATTTCCCATAGTCCTCTAGGGTGTGATTGGATTGATGTCGTGCAAAAGAATGATATTCACATGAACACAGAGCCACAGGAACCATTTAGTGCAAAGCAACAAGTAAAGGGTTTGTGCGCTGCCGGTTCATGTGTGATTACACAGCTGAATGCTGCACCGTCGCTATCCATGGTCCTGAACCTCCAGCCGGTGTCAGAGGTCTGCTGCACACTGCAACGTCCTATGAAAGAGTATCGACTTTTTGTAATAGGAAGTGTGACCACGGAGTGCACCCAGCAACAGATGCGGAACTGAAAAAAAATGCTTTGGGGGTTGAAATGTCATGTGAACAGTTGGGTTCAACCACTGAACACCTCAGGGGTGTTATCGACTCCCTTCAATGCTTTTAAAGGCCAAGGGTTCGTTTAGACTGGGCTTTGCAGTTATTCGCCCTGACGGTGTAAGCGACCACAATTTCCAGCGGCCACACGAGATGAAGGGATTTTGTAAATCTAATCAGTGGACTGCCTGGAAGAGGTGGTCAGTTTAACTGCTGAAAACATCTAGAGCATGCAGTCTGGATAGAGAGGGAAGTGTCTGGAGAGAAATTTGCTGAACTGGACTGCAGGTTGTTCTTGTATTTGACTTAAAGAAATTAGTGCACCCGTCCTAACTTATATTCAAAGATAATCTTTCGAACTCGGATTTAGGAGAATCGACTATTATCTGTTTAGGTTCCCGCAGTTTTGCCTTTTATCGTTTAATTAATCAACCTTTAGTGTACTGCTTTTTAATCTTCACTGCAAGCTATTACACACACAGATGAACAGTGTCGGCTGTTAGATCTACAAAGAACAGCTATAGTCCCACCTCTGAAATCTGCACTGCTCTTACAGCTTTTTTAGATATGTATCGTGTTGCGTCAGTGTGTTGATTTTGAACTTGAACTAGTCTCCAGTATTAGCCTTCCTTAAAAGAAAAGAGACCTTAAAGGGAAAAAAAACTACTATAGACTGATTCTTCTATGATGACCTTTTAGTAACAGGGTATTATTCTGATCTTGCATTATTTTTTTCTGTAGCTATGTTTAGGATCATAAATATATTCCTACATCATGTATCATATATTTTCTGGCATTTTATCTCAGTCCCATTATTGTTACTTTAAAGAACATGCAGTGTTTTGTTTGCTGTAATATCTATAGACCTTCAATATCTTCCTAAAACATGTTATAGATTATTGTAGCGTTTTATTTTCATATCTTATAAACTAATGCATCATTATAAAACATAGGCCTACATTTCCCTAAACTTTGTTATATGACTGATGGAAGCAAATATTTTGCTGTTTCGTCAACGGGTTTTTCCAAAATAGTGTCTCTGAACTCTGACATACAGACTAAATCCAAGTAAGTCTATCATGTTCATGGAATATCTGCTGTTTATTATGTTATATTGTAAATCATGTATAGTAAGGAAATCAAATTGTCTTTTAGTTGCCACCTTAATCAAAAATATTTAATTTCTTATTTCCCCAATTCAAAACACAGTGCTTAAGACTCTGAGAGTAGCCTATATCTGTGTCGTTACTCGTTACATTACCTTCAATACCGTCCTCAATAGGCGGCTCAATGCCTTCTCATCCCAAAAAACGGGAATATCCCTGTAAATTATTTTAAAAGAACAAGTCAGCCATCTCTTTATTTTATTTTTGCAATATCTTTTCTCTGATACCATGAGAGGACCTGCCAAAACTAATCAGCGGATGGAGGTGGCTACTACACCGTTTGGGATAATTCACCTTCAGAGTGATATTTTGAGAGGTGGAGGGCTGGAGGCTGATACCAAGAGTGACGACTTCATATTTTCATCATTGCTTTACTTTAATATGCTTTTAATTGAAATAATGACTCGATAATATGCAAAGAAATACCCTTATTACAAACGTTTTACCGCCTAACACTGGTCGCCACTTGTTGCAACGTCAGACTCCATCTCTACAGTATGGGAGGAGGGAGGATTGGGAGGAGGAGGGGTGAAGGGGGGGACTCCGTCACATCCTCTGTCCATATATGGGCATGAAGTTTACACGCAGCGGGGAATCCTCTCACTGGAGCTGATGAATGGGGAGGAGGGCCGAGGGAGCTGCCAAAGTGTATATAAGGAGAGAGAGGGGAAGTCGCTGATGTGAAATCCACAGCAAGCAAATACCTACCGAGGAGCAGAGACGAAAAGGAATACCTTTAATTGCTTTTTACACCTTTTGACACAGACCACTTTGGATCATTTGTTGAAAACCATCAAAAGGGGGGTTGAAAGAAAACAGTCATCTGCATAATTTGTTTTACATTTTCCCCTTTTACCTTTTTCCCTGGGAGAGACGGACTTCTAAGTGCATCATTATGTTGAACAATATGGATTTGAATGCGAAAGATTCTTTTTACCCCCAGTTTGACAATTGCAACAGTTCTTCCCTGGGAATGGAAAACAGCGTGCGGAAAGATAACCAGGAGGTGTATGTCGATGCAGAGCGGGGGGTACCTGCCCAGTTTGGCCACGGTGAGTTCGCATCTTTGCACAGTCGATAAAATGTGCATGCATGAGAATTAAAATGTGTTAATTATGAGTACCGCGGGAAATAGACGACACTTTTAGTGCAGTCGTGTATATGAAGGCGTCTTGTCAAGGCATTCCTGTGCCAAAATACGCATGCATGTTTATGTAACGCTGATTCTCCTCACCGTTTAATTTGCACTGATTCTCAAATATAAAACACTCGCGATGACAAAGTTTTGTCTCATTCTAATTCAACAGAAGGAACCCCTGCAACCCTCAAAACCGAAGCTTCCAACTCGGAATTTGCTTTTAACCCCTGCGAGTGCCCAAAAGACACCTACACCCCCTCCTCGCTCGCCTACTCCGGCAGTTTCTATGTTGAGGCATCTCAGGGAGCGCCGTGCAGCACTGAAACACTCCTCAATATGATCACTGAGATCGTGGGTATATCTACTCTGCCACTTTCAGAAGTGCAACAGAGCGGCAACAGTCGGGGAACTTATCCATCGCCTGCGCCAATGGACAGCAGCAGCAATGGCAATTTTGGAGACCCCGGCCCCAAGAGGCAATCCTACACCTGCTCCGGACCTACTCCTCCTGTATACTCTCCGGACCAGACATGTCCGAGGTATGCTGATGATCAGGCCGGCAGCCAGGCCCAAGACCCGTCCACTTCCCAGCTAAGCTTCGGCTCCTCCCGAGCTCCAAACCAGAAGAAGGCTGAACCAAAGTCAGAGGCCGCTTCTTTCCCAGTTGTGGTCAAGAATGAGTTTGAAAGCAGCTGCTACGAGTGGGGAACATTTAATAAGTCTGACTGTTTGGAGACGAGTTTCCAGACAGAAACCTTCCCGATGTCAAGCGACTTCCCCCCCGATCAGCAAATGGATGTAAAGGAACTTTTAGACACGTTCCCCCCAATTTGTCCCAACCCAGAGATGGAGTTTAAAGTGGAGGGAGGAATCAAGCAGGAACCGTGTTTCTCTGACACCTGTTCTCAGAGCTACTCCAGTCCTCTATACAATAATTACCTCCCACCACCGCCGATGGGCCTCTCCTCCAACCTGAAACCCTTCCCCGAACCACCACAGCCATCTAACCAGTGTGATTCCTTATACACATCACCAGCTTTACCGAGCACCATAGACTCCATCCTGTACTCTTCCTTGTTGCCAGATTCTTTTGCCCAAAGTTACACTACCCGTGCAACGAAGCCCCCCAGGGCCAGAAAGAGCCCCGCCGCCTCTCACGGCCCAGCCAAAGAGAAACCCTTCACCTGCCCCATGGAAAGCTGCGACCGGCGCTTCTCTCGCTCGGACGAGCTCAACCGACACATCCGCATCCACACGGGCCACAAACCTTTCCAGTGCCGCATCTGTTTGCGCAGTTTCAGTCGTAGCGATCACCTCACCACCCACACCAGGACTCACACCGGGGAGAAGCCGTTCTCCTGCGACGTGTGCGGCAAACGGTTTGCCCGGAGCGACGAGAGGAAACGGCACGGGCGCGTACACCTGAAACAGAAGGAGAAAATGGAAATAAAGCCACAGGTGACCGCCGGTGCATGGCCATTTACTCTTCCTGAGGGAATTTGAAGACACGGCTATGTGTCCACACATATAATATTAGGATCTTTCCGTCTTGGAAGATAAGCCAGCTGACTATACAACTTGATATCTGAGTTGGTCTGACTGGCAAGCCAATGCCTGACATAAGAGGTTTTGCGAATATTGCAGTTTTTGAGGAGCAGAGAGGGAGAAAGAGGTCTGCTTCGGCCTTATTGCCTGCTGCTGATGGTGCTGACTTTATGCAAAGATGCATAAGTTGTAAAAGTCGGTAACCAGATCAACAGTGACTTGTTGCTGATACTGTCAGTAGAGCCAAACCTCTCTGCTGCGGCATTGCATGACTGCTGTTCAGCACCTCTTCATCTGGACAGCTCCAACCTCCATCCGCCTCTGAGCCTGGATGGATTGCACTTACAGATTATTAATATCTCCATTTAAGATTCTTATTTTCTGCTTTTAGCATTCTTAGAGCAATGGTTTGGACTATGTTTCTTAAAATGCATGTTTATGTGTTTTCTTTCCTTTAACCGGAATATCAGCCACTGTCAAGGTACTCCTTCACTCCACAGTGAAGGTTATTGACATGAATGTAGGCTAACATAATTTATGGCTTTGACCATAAAGCTGTCCATCTTTGATCAAATTTAGTGTTTGTTTAACTTCTTATCATTTGGCTGTCAGTGTTTTTTGTCATTGGTCTTTGTGTTGTGTTACAATTGTTTGGATTATTACAATTGTGAAAGATATATCATAAATGGGAAATAAATATATTTGTATTACTGTACTTCTTTGTATTTTTATAGCTAACTGTATATTTTACATTTATCACATTTGAGTGTCATTTCTAAGGTGAAATGTATTCTAAAACATTAATAATGTCTTGGTTTTTTGAGGGCTACTGTTTAGTAACACAATATTTTAAATGTTACAATTTGATATCAGAAACATTTTCACACTTCATCCCATTGTTGGTATGATAAGAGTTATTTCATTGAACTGCTGATCTAGATTTAAAAGGGACCAGAATGTACACTAGTTGTGGTACGGCTTTTCAACAAAAATGATTTTACAGTATGTACAGAAGTATGTTTAATCAAGCTAGAAATGACTAGCAAATCATATAAACATTGCTTTTGAGTAATCAGGTAGCACACATTGCTGCGAGTTTCTGTGGACTTTACTTTGATGATGAAAGGGTCTTGACACCTGGTATCTTTTACTGGAGATACTAAATGCTGAAATGTTCACTTTAGCAAAAAAAAACAAAAAAAAAACAAACAAAAAAAAACTTAAAAATAAAACAATGTTGAGCGTTTGGTGGCATTGTCACCAACAGGGTACTGCAAAAAAGTAATTTAACTCGCCTTAAGTTATATTAACTGTTCAAGTAAAGATTTTGTACATACACAGTTTCTACAATACTTTAAATTAATATTGATGTTGTTATTTTTATGAAAAGTTTATGAACAAAATAAACATTTTCTGGAAACAGCAAGTTTCTTGTGCATGGTTCAGAATGATCAACTATATTTTCCTCTCTGACTTTGCCCGGTCTGTTTCATACATGCTTTGAGACCCCCCATCGCAGCATTCGGATGAGTGTATCTCTTCCCAAAATATACATTATAACAGGCCACCTGTGGCACCACACTGTAGCCCTAACATTAGACAACTCTCTGCCCTGTGAATCACAAGGCTTTTGAATCAAACACAATAAAGTGAACACCCTGTTACTCAGTGCTGTGATTCTGAGTCCCCTTGCCTTCAAATATCACTTTCATCCTGACGTAAATGTAGAGATGAACATCAAGAACGCCATGATAATCTCTACAGGAAACCTGTTAAGCAGGACATTTTCTTGCCATGTCAGTGAGATGATCTGATGCTCTCGGCTCATTCATTCCTTTGTTCATTCACTCATCCATTTTTGCAATAAAGAGATATTAATTTCCACTCAATTGCTGAATGCAATTATGGTCTATTATCATGTATTTTTTTCTCTCAAAGAATGGTGGTACTGAAGTTTCCTCTTGTCAAAACTGCCTGTGCATTCTTGTAAATGAAGTTAATGGTCCCTGTGCCATGAAATCTCTCTACTAGAATTAAGAGAGAGAGAGAGAGCGAGAGAGACTTGAGATCTCTCTACTAGAATTAAGAGAGAGAGAGAGAGAGAGAGAGACTTGAAATCTCTCTACTAGAATTAAGAGAGAGAGAGAGAGAGAGAGAAAATGCAGTGGTGCAAGCAATTTCTGCCAATTCTGATGGTGAGGACATTTTTTCAAGGCAACAAATTTTGTATGTCACTACATCAAGAACAGACCAAAATGCATTTTCATATGAATTTGTAAAATTCACACACTTCTGAGCATAGTACAAGTAATACAAGTAAGTCAAAAAATGTGACTCATTTATGGTGCAAAGTGTACATGCAAGAGATTTTGGGAAGAAGACTGTTGTTTCTATACATAAAGTGGGTTTCCAAGATGCTTTGTGCTCTGTGCATCTTTTCATGATGCCAACATCTTACAGTCTGTCATTGCAAATTATGCAGACATGTATTACCAGGGACTCCGCGGTGGTACGTAGGACATGCATGTGCCCATGACGCAGTCGGCTGGCAGAACACTACTCTGCTTGCCCACGGCAGTGCGTAAGTGCCTGCGTTGTCTGTAGCTGACAAACATACTGTACCAGTGTGAAAATGCAAGCTGCCACATGGAGCACTGAATAGTATGTACCCATCCTATCCTGTCCATCACTCATCATCACTTACAATACCACAGGGCCCAACCGGCATCAACATGCACTCGCTTATCCATGTTGTTTTAGTGGCAAACATTGTCCAGTGATGGATAGTTGAGGCTTTGAATTGCAGTGATGTGCAGTCACAGTGACCATTATCCAGACACTTGAAGACTGAAGAGTTATTGAACCCTGGCCAGTGATGGAATTTCTGCATTTGTGCATTTGGAAGCTCAAATTCGCATTTGCATACTGTAAATGGTCCTTGATATCTACAGCATGTGAGTACGGTTTCAGCTGTGTCGTCTTTATCGAATACGTTTACCATGTCATAAACCTTACCAAACTCATGCTTTGATACAGACAAAAGACATAAAGCAGTTCCTTTCCACTGACTGACATTTATGTTTGTTTTTTCTCCAGTAAATATGTGTAATTGCTGCAGCCATTAAGTAATTGTGCAAGGAGGACACATGACCGCCACTGACAAACATGGTTTCTCAGAACATGGACCTCTGTTATTAATGGTGGCACATCGAGTACATTAAATCCTTGCCAGGGTGTTACTAATGCAAACATGTTAACATTAGGACTTTTGCATGGAGGGGGGTGGGGGTTTATCCAAGGTAATGTTTCTGTGTGACTAACGTATTCCATATGTAACCGGAGAAAAAACCATGAACAGATGTGATTTCACTTCTTCATTGTCTCATCCAATTAATCGCTTGATGTAGGATTGCTTCTGGATAAGTCAATGGGGATATTTATCTGCTTTACCAAATGAATACTTTGGCTCAGGATTAAATAAAAAAATCCTTAAAAATGACAGTGAAGGATTAAATGGGCCCAAATTCTGAGGATAAGTGTCATTGCAGAATGATATGTACTTACATGTTTGTTACTTGTAAAGCACAAGCTTTTTCTTTCTTCTGATTGGCACACAAAAGTTTGTTTTTTTGTGCATAATCTATTTTTTTTTAATTCTTTTGCATCATACACAAGCAAATGGTGACCTCCAGCTCATTTATATTATATAGGCTCATAACTGGAGCATGCTGTCCTCCTCAGTGTCAAGCCCATCTACATTTGTGGTACCATTACATGTCTGAAGTCTATCTTAAGAGGGACAAGTACAGCCCCAGTCATCTCTGAAGAGCCCAACATTCCTTTTATCCATGCTTGAACTCCAAACAATTCTACCTCTACAACAATAATCCAATAATCACTTTCAGAATGTATGAAAATGAATTTATTTGCTTATATGAAGGATCAGAGGCAGTTGTAGTGGTCCAAGCTTCAGGTATCAGGTCACCTCAAGTACCTATTAATAATCACAGTCCTACTTGAGACGGTCTATATGGCCACACAGCCTCATTCGCTTGTGGATTGATCCATTGTGGGGTAATCACCACATAATTTTATGCGCACCTTTAAAATGTGCACAGGGGCACGTCATGGTCCTTGGGGTGGGCTCAGTAATCAAAGTGCATAATCGCATGGCGGTAATGGCAATCAGGCTTAGCAGATTAATTCCTCGGATCATACATCTACCCGTCGGTCCTGTATCTGATCATGAAGAAGGGTGTAGGTGGTCTGGAGAGTGCAGGTGATTAAAAAGAAGAGAACCATTGCGGCAAGAAGGAGCTCGTTATGCAAACATTTTAAAGTGCCTAATTCTTTCCATTGTTCTGGCTCCCAAATTCTTCATTTGTATTACAGATCAGGCAAAGCACAAGACTTAGAAAATAACTTTTTCCTTGCTCCTTCATAAATTACAAGTCAACTCAAGGGTCAAGGACTCCAGTCTGCCACTTTTATCCTGTGCACAACATCTCTATGGTAACTACGTCAAAGGACTTAAGGTGTATGCTGCACCTAAAGTGAATGGAAAAGCGGTGACCATACCCTAGCTGGCTGAATGACTTCATAGCAATTCAATTACTCAGGAAAATTTACAGCTGCCCATGGAACATTCCAGGTATGAGCCCTTACAATACTGCTGCAGCGGTGTCGTTCAGCTGTGTCTATACTGTGGCAACCTCTAGGAATCTGGACAGTCCATACAAATAGCTTAATAGTCATATAGTCATTTCTTTTGAACCTGCTCGTCTGAATTCCCAGTGTGCTGGGTACTTGTTGCTTCAGGATTGGGCAGGAACAGGGTGCTCTTTGGTAATTTATAACATAACATAAATAATGTAAAGCTGCTACATATAATCAATACTTTTATATTAACAATAAATCAAGTGTAATGTAGAATGGTTTACTCGAAGTTACGAACCCAGAGAATTATTACCATAGT